TTTTTTTTTTTTTAAATAAACTGCTCCTAAGTACTTGAGAGTCTGTTTCCTAAAAGTAAGGACATTAGATTGAATCTGTTTTGGGGGCAGTAGACATCTATTGAAACTTTTATGTAAGAGACTGATGAGATATAAAAGTAAAAAACAGAGTAAAAGTAAAAAACTGGCCTAATTATGAAGAATTTAGATTGGATTTGTTAGGAATGGCAATCATTAATAGGCCAGAGCTGGTCAAGTAGATTTGGGAAGCCTCGGCATGGATTAAGGTGACATAAGAAGGAATTTAAATAGATGAAATCAAATAAGTAGAGAATTTAGAGGTTAGAGAGAACAGTTTCTGGGGAGTGGAATTATCTAGAAGATTCTGAGATGTGGCAGTGGAAGGGGCAGGAAGAAAAGCAAGGGAGGGACTACATTGTCACAGTGCAGGGAAAGTGCCTTAAAAGGCAGATAGGCAGTAATGTTGCATTAACTAGATAAGAGGAAATGGAAACTTACAGGACTTGGAAATTCAGAGTTCATTAATAGACTTTAATAGTAGTTAAATGGATGGATGAAGTCTAAATTGAAAACCTGATAAAATGAGGTGTTAACGAGAGAGAAACTGACATGCTGAGGACAGAATGCCCTTTCAAGTGATCTTTTGGTTCTAGATGGAAGTGGTTGAGGTAGGCTGTGAAAGTAAGCTAGGCTGAAGAAAAGGCCTTACAGAATAAAGATGGCTTAATACTTCTAGTTGAAGGAGGAAAGGACGAATAGGACAAGACTGGTACTATGACAGTCAGAGGAGCTAGTCATAAATCGAAACTCTAGGAGTGAAAAGGGAGAAAATCTAAACACAGAATCTAGACATACTTCCCATTGAGAAATAGGAGCCCAGGTCTTTACCTGCCTGTCAGAGAAAGAAGGCTAGATGAATATGGAGATGAAGTTGTAAGCGTGGAGGCAGAAAGGCAAGGTGCGTGTCTCTGAGTTCTGTCTTCTTTATGAAGTTGGAGGGTTAGACTGTGTGTGGGGATGAGGGCAAGTGAGCATGTTGAAGGAACTTAAGATGGGATGGCTGCTCTGAAGACTGGGAAAGGAAGCTACCTAGGGATGAGGAAGAACATCTTTTGTTCTTTTGTAAATAAAGAAACTCTAATGTAATATAAAAGTGTGCTAGAGATGGGTGTATCTCTCCCCAAAGGGAAATGGACTCATTCTGCTGTTATTTTTCCCTTTTCATGGTATTCTCTACTAAACATGCATTACCTTTATAGACAAATACAGTTGTCAATTAAAATTTTATATGGGTCAGGGTTTTTTAATTAAATTTCTTGTTTATTTTGGTTTCTTTTGCCACATTTATTGTAATTCCAAGCTTTTAATGTGGTGTAATGAGCATTGGGGTTAAAACATTGACATTCTGACTGTCCCTCCCAGACTGAAACATACCCAACCGATTGGCCTGTGTCCTTATTGACCAAATTTAATATCTTTCCTGCCCATCTTACAAGGTGCTAAGAATTCATATTATAATGAGACAATTTAAGAGGAAAGAGTAAACTAAGTACTATGTAAATGTGTTATGAAGTCTATTCTACAAATATGCAACCTATATATTCTAAATAATACAACTTGCAGTTGGTGAGGGTTTCTGAATGTTTCCTTTTTTTCCCTGCATGTGGTCTTTAATAATCATCAGTATATTATGTTACATTTAGCTTTTCCAACAGATTGTTTCCTTAGGCCACTGACCCTGTATTTTTTTTTTTTTTTTAA